ACCTGGAAGCCTGTCAGTAGCTAAGTCGTATCTTACAAGCTGTTAAGTGCGATCGCGTGCTGCCCGTGCGCTCGTGTGCGTGAGTAGGAAGCTGCCTTTGTCTTTCTTGTGGACTGCTATTCTGTACCAAATTGCGGTAGCACAGGCAGCGCTCTGACCCAAACCAAAACGCATTGTGGAAACGTTGGCGAGTTGACGCATATCACGTGCCGGTCACGTATCGGTCACCTCCGTCGTTGGATCCCTTCCTTCACGTGAATGGGGTCCTGCCCTCGGATGCTCACCTTGCTCACCTATGCTTCACACATAACAGCTAATAACTCGCAGTTATGGAAGATCCCGGGCCTTGCCTTTTGTATTTCCGCTGCGGACACCGGTTCCAAACTTTCCAATCCCACCTTTTTCCCTTTCGCCTCATCATGGTTGGTTGCACAACCTTACACCAGCGCGTGGATGAATTAGCCGTCGGACAACAAGCTTGGGCTGGACGGATTACCCGTGAGGCCGCATTCGCGGGAGCCGAGGAGGAGGACGCACAGGAGGGATATGGCGCGAAGGCCGCCATGACGCCGGCGGCGGGTAGTGTTGACGCGACGACTTTTGGCAAAGGCAGTGGAGCATCAGGGGCAGAGAGAGGATCGCGGCCTTCTTCTGCAGGGCAAAGGTTGGGTCTTCCTGCCTACGCGGCCCCGCTGCCGCCCACCGATAGGCCGGCATCGGCTGCGTCTTCCGCAGCGGCAGGGGGAGAGTCGAGGCCTTCTTCTGCAGGGCTGAAGTCGGGTCCTTCGGCCTACGCGGCCCCGCTGCCGCCCACCGATAGGCCGGCATCGGCTGCGTCTTCCGCAGCTGGAGGAGGAGAGTCGAGGCCTTCTTCTGCAGGGCTGAAGTCGGGTACTTCCGCGGCTGCTGCCGTACGGCTGACCAGCAGCAGGCCAGCATCAGCAGCATCTTCAACGGCCGTGCCGAAGCCACGTTCAGCCACAGATCGAAGCCGCGGGAACTCTTTTGGACCAGAGGGAGACGAAGATGATGAAGCACCAAGGAGCCAGGGCGTGCAGGCTCCAAAGGCGACCCCTCTCGACCGTGCTGCCCGGGCCGGGTCGGATAGCTGGCAAGAGCCGGACGAGAACATATTGGATTCGGCGTCCATGGATTCGGCGTCCATGGAAGCCGCGATGACCACGGCGACGGCTCCCACATCTCGCGCGGGTCGCGAGGGCGACATGAAGGAGGTCGTTTCAAAGTCCAGGCGCAGGGCGGAGTCGAAGGATCTGGGCAGCGAGTTGGCGACAGTGATGGAGGGGGACGATGGTTATGGCGCAGAGGTCCCAGCGCCGCCGGCGCTCAGCCAGTCGAGGGCGGATGACGATGGGCCGCCCAGCGACGAGCTGGATGCCGCCAGCGACACAGAGACTGGCACTGGAGAT